CCTGCCCGGGTGCCACTGGGGATGTAGTGCTGGGAACACGCTGCGAGTGCGTTGGAGAGAGATGGGCACTGCTGGCTGGCTTTGTCGTGGGACAAAACCCCGCTCAGCACTTTTCCTCTTTGCAAAGCTGAGCTCCCAGCCCTGCACGCGCCCCCCCGCCCCTGTGCACCCCTGTGCACCCCTGTGCACCCCTGTGCCCGTGCACCCCCCAGCCTGCCACACCGGGACCCGCCTCTCACCCGCACAGTGACCCTGTGCCTGCTTTTCATGGGGTGATTTTCCGCTTAAACCACTTATTCACCCCAGATCCCAAACTCCTGCGGATCCAGGCCTGGCCTAGCCTGGTTCAGCTAAGCCGGCTCAGCCAGCCTAATTTAACAGCACCCATTTTTAGAAGGAAAGGGTCACTTCCACAGGAGTCAGGAGCTGCCCTGGACCATCCGCCCTGGGTGGGAAGGTCCATGGAGGGCAGGGAGGGATGCGGTCCGGGGCGGGACGCTGCCAGGGGTGCTGAGCTCCATCACTCATCAGCTCTGCCCTCTGTTGTATCTGAAATAATCGCTTCCTCACCCAGGGAGAAGCATCCCCAAAGGCATCCGACCCGCCGCTGCCTTTCCTACCGGAAAATCCCCGTCCCGTGAGCGGAGCCCGCTCAGGTGCGGCCTCATCAGTGGAGCGTCCCGTGGAGGAAGTATGGGGTCCAGATGCCAGGAGTAGGGTCTGGTTTGCTTTAAATATAAGGCATACGAAAAAGTCCAAGCAGAGACTACTTATTGATTTTAATGAAAATAATATGTTGCCTTGAATGAGGATGTTAATTAAAAGGCACCCGCTGCTGTTTATCGCTGGCTGAGTCTCTGGCAGCAGTAGAGAGAGAAACAAGTCGGGTTGCTCATGCCAAAACCTCCCTGCGGGGAAGGTGGATGGTGCCGGGAGCGGGGTGCGGGGCCGGGGCATTCCCGCTCCCCTCTGCTCGCAGGCAGCAGCTCCGAAAATAAACTCTGGTGAAAGCCAGGCCTGGCAAGCGATGTTGCTGGAAAAGGGAGGACTGAAGCTCACGGTGCAGCCCACCCCAGCTCTGCTCCAGCCAGCCCAGTCGCTGGCAGCACGTGGGTGTGGGCAAATCCTGCCCCGGCTCTCCTGTTTACTTAATAATTTCACACAATAGCATCCTTTATATAGATAGATTTTTTTGCTTTTCTTCTCCTTGTTATGCATGAGACCACTATGCAGACAAAGAGGCACCATGCACATAAAAACTTGCTACATCTTGCCTAGAGGCAGCAAATTTAAAAGCAAAATTGAATTCTTAAGGCCCCATGGAAAGTCACTGAACCTGCCATGCAAGGTCTGCTGGCACAAAGGCAGGGACGCTAAATAAAAGCCCCTGGGTGAATGCTATATTTTTCTGATATAGATCCAGCACACAAAGACACTGGGGCTCAGAAGCAAGGTAGAGCTTCTGAGGTGGTTTTTTTTTTTTTTTTTGTCTGGAAAAGAAAGATGATTTTGGCTGGTGAAGCATCCCGCTCGCTTGCTGGTAGTTCCCCCGGTGCGCTGGCTCACTGCGGTTTCTGCTCATCCCCTGTTTCTGGCCCTGCACTGCACCTCCTCCCTCCACAAAACCCTCTGGCTGGTTTGGAGGGGTTGGAAGATGATTTTTCCCTCCAGCCCTCAGCGACCCTTGAGCATTGCCCTCACCTTTCTCCTCCAAAGTCGCTTTTTGATGAACGGTGGTGGGTCAAACACCGCTCCTGGCGTGAGACCCCTTGAAGGGCTTTGATTTCCTTTTAACCCTCCTTTTCCCTCACCTTGTACTACCCACGTAGGCACCCAAAGAACCTCCAACTTCCACTGTGGGAAGGGGGTGTCTGAGCACAGAACTGGGCTCCTTGGCTGCCCGCAGAAGGGCTTGCACCCCCGCGCACACCCCAGCTCTCTCCAGGAACGTGGGCTGAAGCTGAGGACGCTGAAATCTATAGAGAAAAATACATCGGGTTGCTTTATTAAGCAATAATCTATTAAGAGCACTTCTGTGGGCTTTGGCCTACTTAATACAGAGCCTGGGGCTAAAAGCAATGTCAAAGCCAAGATCAACCCATTACTGGAGGTAATTCCTATAATTTTCTATTAGATTACTGGTATGAGATGTTCAGAAACCTTCCAAAGGCTTTTGAAGATTCTGAGCTTTTTTTCAGTTCTCCCTTTTGGCATTAACTCTCGGGCAGCCCGTCCACGGCCGCTCTTTTCTGGGGGTGCCCTGTGTGCCCCCCCACGCACGGGGGAGACAGGGGCAGGTGGGGACGTGCCCAACGTGCCCGCGCAGAGGTGGAGCCCGGGGTCTGCGCCGTCTAAGCGTAAATGGCGCTCGGGGAGACTTCGCAACCGACGATTAGACGTGTTTACTCATGTATTTGCCAAAGGTGCCTCCCCGAGCTCCCAGTAAACAGCACCAAGACCCACCTCTTCTCTGCAGAGACCTCCCGGCGCAGATCCTGCCCTCCCCAAGGCTTGTGGAGGGGATGGCCAGGTTACACCGGTCCGTGGCAGCGGGATGCCCGGGTCTTGCCCATCAGATGGTGGCAAGTTTGTGTAGATGGGGAAGAAAGAGAGAGCGCAGCCGTTCACCTGTATCGACCCCGTTTCTTGCCAGGCTCAACCACATCAAACAGCCCGTGCGGATTACTCAAAATTCGAGTCAAGCAGCGTGCGGCGGCGAGCGGGCAGGCCGGCTTCGCAGGGCTGGTCTCGCAGCCTGCCCATGGGCACGCCAAAAACAAATGCATTGAAACATTTGGTTAGAAAATGGTTTGGGTTTTGTTTTGTTTTGTTTTTTTTTTTTTCCTTTTTTTCTTTTTTTTTCCCCCTGTGTCTGCAAGCTGAGGGTGAGTCATCTCCCAGCTTTCCTCAATGAGAGATCTAAAGCACTTTAAAAAGAAAAAAGAAGAGAAGGAAAAAAAAAAAAGACAAACCAAAACACGTCTGTTGTTTTAATCACAGCTTGGTTTCACAAGACATAGCTGGTCTGGGCTGTGATGCAACCGGGTCTCTTCTTCCAAGTCACACACGCGGATTTTTATGTTTCTCCTGAGATCTTCTACCAGGCTGGCAAAGCCTCTCTGCGTGCACCGCGAGACTCCCCGGGGACCTCCCGTCCTGTACCTCTGGGAGCACGTAACGACATGATCAGCAGGACTTCTTGCCTTGTTTTGTTCCTCTCCAACACAGAACAAGGCAGTTGGTATTCTATTTAAACAAGCAGTCATTGCGATCAGCTGCCCACAGAGGTAATGGTGTTGCTGTGCATTAGTGGCCAAAAGGCCCAGTGGCTTAGGAGCCAGTGGTCCCTGGCCACAAGGGTTGGTGGCCAAACACAGCTCACCTTCTCCTCTGGCTTGGGCCCCGCTGTGCAGAGGCATCTGCACGAGGGAGGTTAAGGCATGATTTGTTTTGCCCGTGGGAAGGTGGCGAGCTGCAGCCACGGGGATTTGGGGTATAAAATAGCAATCCCTCTTTATCCAGGGGCAAAACCCGGCCAGAACCCAGGGCACGCTGCGGAGTACGGGCACAGCCGGCACGGTTTGCCTGCTCGGGTGAAAAATGCAGCGGTGAGAGGCTCCGGGGCTGGCTGCCGAGCCTGCAAAGGCAGGCAGCGGCGAGGAGCCTGGCAGGAGGACACTGGAGCAAAGGGCAGAGCTGTTTTCTCCTGCAGCAGCTAGGCAGAGTTATTGGGGTTTTTCTTCCTTGCATTTAACGCAAAAATACAGTTCACAATCCTCGTCTGCTCCATTTTTCCCCCTCACCTCCGAAAAACAAAAGTGTTGTGTGTGTCCCCCCCAAACTGTGAAGCGAGTGGGCACATTTCTGAACTGAGAGAACATCAACCACCATGTTATTTATAAGCTTGTTTTTTGATGAGCACCTCTAGCTTTTCCACAATATAAATCAGCCGCGGGGTTGAGTTCTGCTGCGAGGTTTTTTGATCTGAAGGTGATATTTCCATCGCTGGGAAACACCCGGAGAAGGCTTGCGTCCCGCGGAAAATCGTGCTGGGTTCTTCCCATCTGTTGTCGGGATCGTTTGCCACATGTTATCATTTATAAACGAGCTCTTTTCTTTGGCCAGGCAGGAAAAGCGTTTGGAAAACATTGCAGGCAGGAGTGACCCGTGGAGCCTTTTCCCTCCTCCCCTGCATCCCATGTCTCCTGGGGGAAACTGGGCACCTGGCTAACAGAGGCTCCCCCGTAACGTTAGACAGCCCAGATCCGGCCCCTGAGCCTTTGGAGAGCTGATGCTGATCCAAAAGGACCGTGAGCTCCCCAGTTAGCTCTGGTGGGCACCAGCTCTGAACCTGCTGGGAAGTGTGGGGAGGACCTTGTCAGCATCCTCTCCCTCGTGCTGCGATGGGCTTGAGCTCTTATTGCACAGACATTCCCACCTTCTCCTGAGAAGCATTAAATTTTCAATGTCTCCAAACATCAGCTCTCAGAATCTGGCTCTCTACAATGCACGGAAAACGCAGACCTGGACTTATTATAAAAAATGTATGGTACAAAAAATATTAAACCTGTTTATTGCATTACATGTATTTTCCAGACAATGGCTTTCCTTCAAACACAAGGCTAACCCTGCTCACGTGGGCACACACTTCCCTCGAACCAAACCCCAAGCTTCCCTTACTCAAGGGGAAAATTAACCCTTGAATCCCCCCCCGGGGGACGTGCAGCCCCCAGGGGCATCCCCTCGGGGGCCCCATCCTCCCGACCAGCAGTGCAGTGGGCTCGGGCTCTGGGTCCCTTTGGGAACGGGGAGGTGGGCAGCAGGAGGGCGGCCCGTGGGTCTGGTTTCAGATGTGCAGGCGTGGGGAAGGGCTCGTCCCAGACACCTGTGGAGCCCCACACCTGAGGAGCACCAGGCAGTTGCCCACAGGGCTATAAAAGGCTGCTGCCAGGGTGAGTATGTGTCTATAGGGCAGTGGTGATGCTCTTGCAAGGAGGAAGGGCTTGGGCATTTGCTTTTAGGTAGAAAAAGCTGCTTGAGGCTCTGTTCCTTACAGAAAGGAAAGCAATGCTGCAAACCAGGTAAATATGGAGCAGTGGGGTGGTGGTGCTGCTTCTTCTGGGGTGTTCTGCTCTGTGGGGCAATGCTGTGGGTCTGGGTGTTGAAGCAGGGAGCTGTTAAAACAGGAGTGTCTCCTGAAAAAAAAAAAAAAAGTTGGGGCTCTTGGTACCTTCAGGAGTCATTTATAGATCTTGGGGGGGTGGACTTTCTTTCTGGTCCAAGAGCCTGTAAGTAGCAATAGAGCATTCTAAGGAGTCTCTGGGATCTGTGTGTGGAGACCTTGCTAGCAATTAAATGTACCTTTGCCCTGTGGTGTTTTAGGAATGAGCTGTCTGGTTGCAGGGGTAAGCAGGGCCTGGAAGCACAAATTCAAGAGTGTGTGCTTGTGTGTGTGCCTATAGAAAGGTTTTGAAAGCAGAGGAAAGCTCTTCCCAGCCTGGTGCTCTCTGGTGCTAAGCCACCAGCTTCGAGTAAGAAGCTCTGGTGGAAAGAGTACAAGATGTTGTGTGAAAGGGGTGGGGTAAAAGCTTTTGGTCCTGAACTCAACACTGCAACAAATGTATGGGCAGGCTCTCAGCTGTGATATGTGGGGGGGGTTGAGAGTCACAAAATCCTGTGGGTTATCAAACACCTCTTTGAATGCCCCTCCTACCATGGAGGAGGACCAGGCGTGCTTCTTCATTTTTGTGCAGTGAGCCACGTGTGCCACTGTGCCGTAAGATCACTAGAGCCAGCAAATCTCACCAGAGAGATGAGTGAATGTGGCCTTGCAGGAAGGCTGCTTGTTTTACAGTGAGGCAGGAGCATAAAGGTCGTATATAGCTATATGCTCTCTCCTAGCAAACATCTTAGATGTTGCAGATGGCCTCCCCATGTGTGCTGCTGCTGGCATGCAGCTGGTTGCTTTGGGATGGGGTATTGAGCAGTTGCTGCTACAGGAGGGCTTGTTTGGGGTCATTGGGGCAAACAAATATTTCCTTGCCAGCCTACTTGGGAGTTAGTCTAGCCTGCCCCTTGCGTTCTGGAAATGGAAGAGGCTGAGGCTCTGCTTGATCCCAGCACAGCTGTACATGGCTGATGTGACCCAGGAGGAGGGTGCAGCAGTTAGGCAGAGGGTCTTCTCTTAGACCCCAGCCCATGGGGCACCCAGGAGGTCTGTGATCACTGCTGGCTGAAACAAATCTGCCAGAAGGCCTGAGGAGGACCAAGTGGCATTAGCCACGGTTATTTTTGACATCAGACCTTCATTTGAATACAACAACCACAGCAGCAGGAAGGCAGACTGTGGTAGTAGATCTAGAGAGCGATTATCGTTCTTGGAGTTGCTTCTTGCATCTACTACCTGCTGGGAGTTTGGCTCTGCTCTGTCTGGTCCTCGTAGCCTGCTGCACCCCCTGAAAAGGGTCCTAGTCCCATCCAGGTGCAGCCAGTGCAATGAGATCTGCAGGGCTAGGTGTTGGTGTCTGGGTTTGGTTAATCTTCCCCCTCCTGAGAGCCGTGCCGGCACCTTCTTAAAGCATGATGTTTCCTGACTTGGAATAAGCTGTTTCCAGTGCAAATCCTGCCCAGAGCTGGCATGGGAACCAAGCACGCACAGAGGGAGCGTGGTGGCCCTGACTGTCTGGGGGAAGCAGGCTGAGAGCTGGGCAGCTTGTGACTCGAGCGTGGGGCCACCCTCCTGTTCATCCCTGCGTGTCCCTAAAGCAGGCGGGGGTGAGTGGCCTCAGCGCTCCCGTGCTGTGCCCCAGCCGGGCCCTCCTCCTAATTTAAAGCAGGCGCGAGTTGTGTGAATGGTGAAACCCTGCCAGTGCCCTCCTGGAGGGGCAGGAGCTGTCGGGAGGCCCCAGTGCACGCTCTGTGGGGAAGGAAGCGCCGCGGGACCGGGCTATGCTGGCTCAGCAGAGGGTCATCCTTGGCCAGCTCTGCCTCGGCTGGGCTCAGCCACGAGGAAAGGCACTGGCCGTGTCGCTCCCGCTGCCGGCCTCGCCAGCACAGCTGGGTGCAAAGCGCCCTGTTTGAGGCAGAAGAGGAAGCAAGAGCGTATTTGCATGCCACGGCTACACCCTGCCTCAACCAAATTACCAGCAGATGAGCATAGGCGCACCTCCTGCTTGTTCCCTAATTTATGGCAGCAGAAGCAGGGAGGGGAAGGTGAGGGGGAGTAGAGGAGGGAACAGCAAACACAGCCATTATACATGCAAATACAGTACTTTCTGGTTCTCCAGTGCTCTCCCCTCTGAATGCACCCATGTGTTTTCCCACTGCTAACAAACCGGTTGTTACTCTGCACCTTATGGGGTGCAAAGGGCTTGGCGGGGGGGGGAGAAGGGCAGCTTGTGCCATGCTGTCCCTGTTGCGAGTGCCAGCGGTGCCGCGTGTCCCCAGCCCGGGCACCCATGGCTGCGTGCGGGCTGAGTGGGTGCCCACACCTGCCCCCACGGCTGTGTGGGGACCCCCCCCCCGGGCTCGCCCCGGGCCACGCGCTGCGTCTGGGACGGAGAACAAAGCCACCGCTTCACCTCCCCACCGACCTGAGCAGACTTCCTCCTTGGAGTATTTACTGGGGTTTTTTTGGTTTTTTTTTTTTTTTTTTTTTTTTTCCAAGGCAGCTTCCCATGGGGACAAGCCAAGCAGAAACACCCGTGGGGCTGGCTGTGGGCGCTGGGGAGGAGGCGTCCTCCTCATTTACCTGGTGGAACTGCTACCTCTGAGGAGCCCGGCTATGAAACAAGGGATGATGTGCTGAACACCCCCCCCCCCCCTTCCCAGCTCTGGAGCTCTTTTGGGAGGCACACCTCAGCCTTGGTACCTCTGGCTTGAGGCTGAGGTTTGCCTGTCCGTGCAAATCAGGAGCAAACCGGCTGAGCAACTTTGGTGTTAAAACAGCTAGTCCAGGATCAAGCTGCGGGAGAGCAGGATCAGGCCGTTTGCAGCTCCTCAGAAAGGCTCTGTAATGAAGTGGTCCTCTGCGCATAGCAGGAATGGAAACAACAGCCCTCAAGTCTGACCCCAGACAATTGTTTTCAGCGAAGAGGGCTGGGGAGGCAATTAATAATGTTTAAACGAAAGAAATAAAAAAAGCAATACTGTATCTAGAAACTCATCCGAGGGCCAGAGCTGTGACAGAAAGATATATGCTTTAGCATTTCTGTCAGAATAAATGACCCTCCTGAGAGCAGGAGTTTTTGAGGCTCTTTCTGCCCCACTGGACATAATTTAAGAAATGCATTACTTCTAAAAATCACTAATTTTAGCCAGTGGATGAGTTGCAAAGGGTCATGTTTTTCCTTGTACGCTGGAAATACAGGGGATATATTATTAGAGAGCCATAGTGCAAACAGTAGTTTCTGATTAGAAGAGAACCTCGTCAGCGTTTCTCCAATTAGGCATGGGCATCAAGTTCCCTGGCACGCAAAGGGGCTGTTAGCAAACCCTCCTCTCCTCCTGGGAGTGGAGAAGCAGGCTGAGAAAATGTGGCCCATCTCTTCCGAGCCGCTGTGAAGTTCCTTAGCAAGAGCCAACTTTTCTGCTCCAGCCCTGCTGCGATGGGACCCCCTCTAAGAATAAGAAAAGCAGGTGTTGTCCATGTCTCCATCCAGACCTCCCCTCGCAGGGGAGCTGCACCGCGCTGGTTTTTCTATGACATGGACGCTTGTCTCCTGAGACGTGAACCCAGACCACCAAATTCATTTTGCAGAGACCACCAAATGGCCATCTGAGATCAATTAGCTTGTCATTACTCATCCCCATCAGATCTGAACTGCTGACCTACAAGTGAAAGTCCATATATTTGTCTCCTGGCAATGTGCAGACCCGTCCAGCTATCTAATGAGAAGAGCTTCCTCCGTAAACAAAGCCGAGGAGGTCGTGCTCTGGCTGTCCATCGCCTGCTCCAATTAGCTTGAACCCCACGGCCAAGTTGAGCTCAGTTTGATGGAGAGGTAGGAGTGTCTGGATCATCCAGCTCTGTGACAACAGGCTGTTGAGTGGAGCAGAATGGCTCTCGTTAGTGACAATGTCAAACAATTTTAGAACTCGAAATGCCATTTTAACTTTGCATTTGAATGGTTGCTTTGTTATTTTAAACTGCTATTCAGAACTAGTTAGTAGTTGAAATTATAGCCTTATTTATTGAAGATGCTAAGTATGCAATCTGGAGGCAGTATTTATGGGGTCGTGTGTATTGAAGTTCATTATTTAGGTGAGGATATTTAATGTGGAAGGAGATATAGCCCTTTTAATTAAAGGACTGTGAACTTGACTGAAGCATTTGCTGCCTGCAAAGGCTGTAATTATCACACATGATCCAATTTTTCGTTTAAATCTAAAAGACCCACAGCACCTTTCCTCTTTTAAAACTATGTGGGTTTGCATATCTGTTTTCTGGTAGTGTATGGGGAGTCCTGGGAAACAGCAATAGACCAAACTTTGAATTAATTCAGGATGGTGGGGAGGCACCAGTGTGTTTTACACCATTTGGGAGAGTTGCTCCAAGCTCCCAGAGGTCTGGCAGGTGCAGGTGTGGTGGGTGGTGGCTGGGTGTCTCACTGTATGGGCTTGGGAAAAGGCTTGAGCGTCCTTGGAGGTAGCAGTTCTCTGCCCCGTGGAGGGTTGCAGCTCCTTCTCTCGGCTCCCTGCTCTGCAGGAGATGGTCTCCAGCAGCCAGCCCCCAACACAGCGCAGGCTCTACGTCCTCCCCATGCGACTGAGCGCAGGGCTTCAGCTGGACCAGTACCTCTGGAGAGCAAGGTGCTGGCGCGACACTTCATCTGCAGCTATGTTTCTCTGAGCACAACTGTCAGACTTGCTTAGAATTTACTGGCTTTACTACTGTTTAATTTTTTGACCTAAATATAGACCAATTGTATTTCTCTTGGAGTGATGGAGAATTCTATTGTAAGCTGCATTTTCCAAAACTTTTTCAAGAGGGTAATAGCTATCAGGGAAGCAGGCGCTGGTTCCAGGGGGTTATTTTGGTATTTGTCTTAAGTGTCCTCACTTTTGTCCAATGTTGTCTCCT